AAATATGAATCGACAGTTTCAAACCCAGTCTTTGTATACGAGTTCCACGATGGCTTTGCGTAAATCTTCCATTTGCTGTTCGCAAAGTTCAGCGCGTTGAATTTCTTTCTCAATCTTGGGCATCAATCCGTGTTTGCGGCCCAGAAAGCGCAAGATTGTTAGACTCTGGGTCAGCCGAACTCCCTCTTGGTCGTCAATATAAAATGGCAGCTAAAGAAATTGAAAAATGCCCATAATCTTCATATGCATATATATGCAGTTGAGTTATATATAGGTTTAACTACAAACGCACTCAATATGCTGCGGCAAATGCTTAGAAACAAAAACTTCTGACAACGATCAACCAAAATCCTCGGACATCCTACTTCTATACAGACGATAAAACGGCTGCGTCATCCAATTTAAAAAATCTTTTGTACAGTGAAAACAGAAAGTACTGCAGTAATCATAGTTGAATTCACTTTCCTCTGATGCAAAAACTTTTATCAACAAAATGTTCATCATCATATGTTTTGAATTTATCCCGTCTGTAAACTTTGACTATAATTTATCAAGCAGCAGCAGCTGAACAATCTTCTTTGTATTAGTAGTTTAGTACACAGCAATTAGTAACCTGGAGTAACCTGTTTTAGAGAAAGTTACACTTACATTTGGAAAGTCCAGTTTGAGTCCGTATTTGTCAGCACTCCATTCTTCCCAGTCCAGCGGATATTCCTTTAGCTGATAATCCACCCCAGCATGAGCAAGCAGAAGTTTAATGGACTGTCCCAACTTAAAGGAAAAGGAAAAATTATCCGTGGCACAATATATTAAAACAACAATATTGAAGCCAAAATTTGAAGAAAAGCTACAATAATATTCTTCATTGAGTGAATTAAGCAATAAGCCTAATACCTAAATGGTACCCCAATATGGACACCCAAACACATGCTGGACAATATACAACTCAAGTACACTTGAAACTTCAAAAAATTCTACCCTAGCATCCAGACAATGACTCAAGAATCAAGATACAGATCCTTTTCCAACATTTCAAGAAAAATTGTATGAGTTATTTGTCTAAATTTTGATATCACAACTGTACAGTATTAACAAATTGATCTACTTATATATACTTGCTGCTTGAACTGAAGATCAGATTATGTGTGGTTTTCTTCTGCACAGCCATTTTCTGCATCTTTAAATTGAGAAAAAAAATTGATAGAATTCTTTTGGGGACATCATCACTCCTAATTCTTGATGAAACGGACAAGAACCATGCATTAAATATGTTTCCATTGAAGTCTACTGTATTTTTGAAAATGTGGTCCGCCATAAACGGATGCTCTGACATAGGGACGAAAGTTCCAACTATATGTCCACATCTCGGGCCCCCATTTTATACTATGCAGGTACATTCAAAATTTAAAGAAGAATCCTTTAGCAACTGGTTCTGGGCAATACCCGAGCGCGTTGATGCTGTGAATCAAGAAAGGCGTGTATAGTTCAATTCACCCACCCAGAACTGATCAAATTGATGAACTGGTGACTTTTATAAATGTTACACTTGCGTGGAAGAGTTACCCCTCGCAGTCGCCAGTATCCGAACACTGGACGATGAGTCGCCATTAGTTTGATTCCAAGATCTCCGGAGATAATTCGCTTGGTGATGGTGGGAAGAATTGAAGACGTTTGTGTCGCAATCGCTGTAAGAGTGGCCAATTCGTCAACTTCCTGCCGAGACGATTTGCAGCAGAAAGGTGACGATAACAAGTTCCTTAACCGCTCGATGATTGCTTCGTTGAAAGTCGTCACGTTCGCGCAAGAAGAACAGTGAACTTATTCTTAAAGCTTTGACTCAGTTCCACAAAACGAGCTATTTGGGTACGTCTTCTAGAATCTAGAGTTCCAGACTGATTCCGGGTGTATGCACTGTATCGTTTTGTGGTCACGAACTTGACGTAAAAGAGCAGCAACTAATATTTTTCTGCGCAGACGAATTGCCTTATTGTTTTTACTCTTGTAGGGAAAAAATGTTCGCGTTTTGATCGCGTTGGTAGTATGTATATGGACAGTTCACAGCACTGATCTGTCATCTGATGAGGAAGCGTGTCAACTCCCTGCTATAGGAGATTTTATGCGCGTCAAAATCTTAATTCCTTCAGCGTTGCCATATGTTCACTTATTGTTATACAAAACCTGAGAATAATTGTGTATAATATTTAAATACAATCTTGCGGCTGTAAGTTTATGTTTATTCCATCAATTGTGCATCATCTAATATCATATTGTACTTATATCAATTTTTAGCTAGTCTTCGCGAACAATATGCTGTATATGTAGGCAGCATATATATGATATATTCAGCATATATATATTATGTAAATATTGCCATGGTGTATCGTCCGCAGAATAAATTGCCCAAGAACGGACTAGGTGTCCACCAAGACGAATGTTGAAGATTTTTGGACTACTCATTTTTTAAGCCTCGATATATTTCTTTATGATTGCAGTCCCGCATGGTGAATCGAAAACTTCTGAGATGTATCACATGAGCCAAAAAAGTCAGATTTGGTAAAATTGTCACTGCTTTACTTCCTTATATGGATAGAAGAAAAAAGAGCTTAGAGACTTATGAAAAATGCGCATACAATATATAGTACAGTACTGAATTTTGGAAGACCAACAGCAGCAAGCTTAAACTTATTTAATTCCGGCAACGTGTTCGTTTCGAATTGGTTATATTATTATTGCTGTTAACAAGCAAATACAGTAGTTATTGCTGCCAGAATTGAGACGTAAAAAAGGATTGGAAAAGTGTTTCAAAATTGCGAACGCAACAGGAGGTTGCACAATATAACAGCTGCTCAAGCTGTCAACGTTATTGATATTCAATTGAATTTAAACGGTCTCGTGCATTTTAAATGAATGATGGTAATCCTGCAGACTTTTGAACCTGTATAGTACATATTCGGTATCTTTCAAATCTTACCATCCAAAGATACCGAATATTTTTTGCTGATGATATACTGTACTGTATCAGCAGCAGCCCTGCAGGAGTATTATAAATTATGCTGTATACTGTCTTATTGACAATGACGTGTAGAAACCTGCCTATTTGTTTATTTTTGTGCCAAGGTACTGTACTGCATCAGTACTGTATAAATATCGGAAGCTTTCAAATTTTCCGTGCATGGTTGCAGGTACAGTATTTTGAACCGAAATTATAGATTCACTTCTCGTGCAGCGGGCTGTTTTCCGAATTTTTTCATAATGCTTTAAATTAATTAATATTCGAAATTTGAAAAATTACCAGCATTCAGCACTAGAGCAATGGATATTCATGATTTAAGTTTCACGAATTAGACCTATAAAGTTCAATAGAAACGGCTCAAATGCCTCAATAAGAAGGCAGGGGGTAAGAATGATGCATTGTAGGCTGTCCACTTGTACAATATTATCATTTTTACAAGGAGGATAAATAACTTCAGGAAAATATTGAGAAAATAACTACACATGATAACAAGAAACATTTCAATACAGTTTTGACTCAATCGGTAACGCTCCAGTTTCCGCGAATGACACCTACACGAAGTCCACGGAACATTCTAGAGAAAATTAAATTTCCAGTACCGTATGCACGATTCGTCATCGAATTCCGGACATTCTTCGAGTCTAGACAGGAGGTCAGGAGCGAGCAGTAAACATTATCCTGTACTGTATGATGCGTTATCATGAGGGGTATGGCCCGCGAACGAATCCTGCACGAAATTTAAAGGAAAAATCTACACCGTTTTCCCGGACCCGAATCTTACGAAGAAAAAAGGAGGATGCGTAGTATCGTCAAGGACCTGTATGCGTGATACGCGTATGTGTACAAGTACCGCGTGCGGCGTGAGTGTACAAAAATGCGCAACAACGCATACTCTCATAGGTTCGTAGAATTCTGCAGTTTTCAATAAGAGGCATCTGAGTAGCGACATCTATCTGCATTTTGATAACATCGTTCGTCACTTATTAGCCCAGGAGTAAACGCAAGGTTATTGGGGTCCGCGCAGTTCCTTCCGATTGAGAAACCGTTTGTTGTGTGTTGCGTGTCGTACTCCGTAGTTCGGGGAAATTTGGGTGAAACGTATGGGAGTATGTCTACGAATCCGTGCTAGATCACCTCTCGGAAACTAGACCCACGAAATCCATGACAGTGTTTACATTAAATTGGCAAGTGACCCCAGTGTCTGCTTTGCCGATGCATGATTATTTGGTCTTTGAGGTTGAGAAGCTATGAGTTGAGCCAAGAAAGAATATCCAGTGTTTTCATTTTCCAACGTTCTGCAGGATTATTTTCTGATTTCAGGGTGATCACGACTTGCGGTATGTCGTTGATCGCTCGCTTAAGACCCATAGTGTCGGCGCGGGTGCTTCAAGGAAGGACAGCCTCTGCACTCGCATTCAAGCCGTCGAGAAAACGAATTGTCGACGTGGACGCAACTGCTCATAATTACAAAGTTGGCCAGAAGATATCGGGATTTCAAATTCAACGCGTCGAGCCAGTTCCCGAGCTAAGCCTTGTTGCTATCAAATTGAACCACCTGAAGACCGGAGCTGCACACTTACACATAGCCAGGAATGATCGCAACAATGTCTTCTCTATCAACTTTCGTACTGTTCCGGTTGATTCGACCGGTGTTCCTCACATCTTGGAGCACATGACCCTATGCGGAAGCAAAGAATTCCCTGTGCGTGACCCTTTCTTCAAAATGCTTACTAGGAGTCTGGCGACATTTATGAACGCTATGACCGGTAGTGACGTCACGTTGTATCCGTTTTCATCGCAAAATGAAGCTGACTTTCGGAACATCATGCGGATATATCTTGATGCTGTTTTTTATCCGAGGTTGAAGGAGAGCGATTTTATGCAGGAAGGCTGGAGGATTGAACCTAATGATCCGAAAAATGTGAATGCTGGCTGGGAATTTAAAGGTGTTGTATTCAATGAAATGAAAGGCGTATTCACAGATCCGCAATCACTTTTCGGTAAGTCAGATCTTTTGCTCTAGGTTTTAGTTGCTTCAATTCTTTTTCGGTTAAATTTTGCAGCGCATCGAATTCAAAATGAACTTTTCCCGAATCACGTGTACGGAAATATCAGTGGAGGAGCACCACTAAGTATCCCGCGACTGACCTGGCAAGAGTTGAAGCAGTTTCATTCTTCGCATTACCATCCCAGCAATGCTAGAATTTACACGTATGGTGATATACCGTTAGAGAGCCATTTAGAGTTTATAGATACGCATCTGTCGAAGTTCGATTTCATCGATTCGAAAACGGATGTTCCACTTTCCCCAACGTGGAATCAACCAAGGAAAGTTACTGTTTCAGCGCAACCTGATCCCATTTGTGCAGACGCGGAGCGTCAATCTTCAGTCGCCGTCGCATATTTATTGGATTCCATCCAGGATCCTTCGAATTCTTTGTGCTTGCAGCTGGTCTCGGAACTGCTAATTTCCGGTCCGAATTCCCCTTTCTACAAAGCCCTGTTGGAACCGAAACTTGGGACCTCCATGTCCTCAGTATCTGGATACGATGGATCAACGTTGCAATCCAGTTTCACAGTAGGTTTGCAGGGTGTTCGAGAAAATGAGATTGAAAAAGTTCTGACAGTCATCGACGAGACGTTTCGAAGTGCCACGTTTCCGAAAGAACGGATTGAAGCTTTACTACATTCTATTGAACTTGGAATAAAGCATCAGTCGGCCAATTTTGGACTGGGTCTTCTCATGGGAATAACATATCCATGGAATCACGTGGAAGACCCGATCGACCATTTCATGATCAGCAAACACATTTCGAAATTTCGTGAGAACCTTAAAAAAGATCCTAACTTCCTGGACCACTTAGTGGACAAGTACTTCATCGAAAACAAGCATAAACTCACAGCCATCTTGAAACCAGATCCTAATTTTGAGCAGGAAGCGCAGAAGGCGGAGGCAGTGTTGTTGCAAAATACACTTCAGACTTTGGATGAAGATCAAAAGCTCGAGTGGGCGAAAAAATGCCAAGATTTAGCGGAAGAGCAGCATTGTAAAGAAGACGTTTCGTGTCTCCCGATCCTGAAGCTTTCGGAGATAGATCGGGAGCCACCAAAGTACGACGTCGTGCATGCAGATATCGATGGAGTTGATTTCCAGTTCTGTGCACAGCCAACCAACGGCGTTACGTACTTCAACGCAAAAATCGACACGTCGTTACTGCCTGAAAACCTGAAACCGTATTTGCCCACCTTCTGCTCTGTGCTAGCAAAAATGGGAGCTGCAGATCTTGACTACAAACACTTGGATCAAATGATTGAGCTTCGCACAGGTGGACTGGCTGCGGGAAATTATGTAGAAGTTTGCCCTCTTGAAGGAAAGGGCATTGAAGACGGGATCAGCATCTCTTCCCATTGCCTGAACAAGAACACTGCGGCAATGTTTCGTCTATGGATGAAGATTTTCAACGAATTACGAACTGACAATAAAGAACGGTGAGTTGCTCTCAGCATTATTGAATTGTTGCCGGTGGGCGTAAATATTACCAGAACTGCGTGTACTCTATTTTACCTTTGCGTGTTTCCGATAGTTTGTCTTGACAGCATGGAAATTTGACGTGTGTACTGAACGGTATGCGTATCACAATGTACAAGGGTTGGTTCACGAGTTTTTGCAGTTTTGGGTTTACCTTGCTGGAATACAGGGATAAATGGCGTACTTTTCAAGATTAATATATTTGGAAATCTCCTGACCCGTGATTTACTGTCAACTCAAGAATGTTAAAATGGATGAAAGAACATGTTGGAAGTTTACCCCATTCCTGTGAGGAAGGTTTATGCGCAAAGGTTATAACATGGATGTTCTGAGTTCTTCCAATCATCCTTAGGTGGGACGAAATTTATGAATAAAAAAGTCTGTGCCAAATATGGAAACCATGTTCAAATGAGATAATTCTTCTGATGTATTATTAATTGTTTTGTACCGTAACGGTGATGATTGGGTGACTGGAGGGTTGCTCAAAATTCTGACTTGGTGAACAAGAAAATGTTCAAGACTGATGCGCTATTGATTTTTCATGAATTGAAATTCTGGTAAGGAAATTTGTGTTCGCAGATTATACCTAAAGTAATATCGAAACTTATTTATGTGTATTGAAAATAATTTTAAGGATCTTGCCATGCTGCAGTAGTCTCGTTGTTAAAGACCTTCACGCATCGGTTCTTTTATGGTTGCAGATTGAATTTTCTCTCCAACCCACGTATTTTTTTGCTGTTGTGTATTGAAAATAATTTTAAGGATCTTGCCATGCTGCAGTAGTCTCGTTGTTAAAGACCTTCACGCATCGGTTCTTTTATGGTTGCAGATTGAATTTTCTCTCCAACCCACGTATTTTTTTGCCGTCAGCATTCAAGCATCATAAAAACCTTCTTATTTTGGAAACATTTTTGAAATCATGATGTTTTTCTTTTACCTTTAATTTCAATGGCATTTTCATAGGTTTGAAACTCTCCTGAAGATGAAGCTCACGAATAAGATCAACGGACTTCCGGGATCTGGTCACAGATACGCGATGCGGTCGGCTGGGAGAAATCTAAATGCTGCCGCTGCGATGAACGAGAAGTTTTCTGGCTACGAACAGATTCTTTTGTTGAAGGATTTCTCAAGCGAAGATAAATTCCGCTCGACGTTGGAGAATATCCGAGAAATAGCAGCTCTCGTCTTGAACAAGAAAAGAATGCGATGTGCCTTAAATGATACAATAGAAAACATTGATGACGCATTGAAGTCTGCTGAAATTTTTGTATCTGCTATCAATGGAAAACCGTTGAAGCCAGAGAAACGGTAAGTAGATGTTCTCTGTATCTGTTTTATTCATCTTATTTTAAAGTGAAAAAAAGTAAAGCTGGGCTGGTCCAGTTGGTCATTACCGCAAAGCCTGCATCTTGCATTTTTCTTTTGGGACTCGAACTGCAGGTTTTGGTCTACGGAAGATTAATTTCCTAAAATAATTCAAAAGATCGTTGGACGTTTCAACGCTTTTTTTTTTTTTTTTTTAAACGAATGATGCCACTAGGAAGAACCTGACAATTTTCACCATGAAGCATAATGCGATCTAGCTTTATGAAGAGCGTATTTTTCGGTTACGATATTCAGCTTCTTTCATTTTAAATTTCTCTGCTGATGGGGAACAGGGGGGGAAAAAGGCTAGATACCTGAATTACGGCTACTTATAAATGGGTGCATTTTTCAGGGTAAATGGCTCTTCAGACCAGCTTTAAAATAAAAAAAAGGTGGTTGGGCTCATGTGGTAATGTTGGATTCAATCTATTTGCAGGTTTACCCAACGCTCGTTCATTCCAGTCACGAAGAGAACTCACTTGGTTTTCCCCTTCCCTGTGAATCACTCGTCTCTGTGCTTCCCTTGCCCTGCGTACGTGAGCGAGCACTTCGCTGCCCTACGTGTTGCAGCCAAGCTGCTGACTTCGAAATTCCTACACCGGGAAGTTCGTGAACGAGGTGGTGCTTACGGATCTGGTGTCTCAATCTTATCGTCAGGAGTGTTCTCTATGTATTCTTATCGTGATCCAAACGGTGCGGAGACGTTCGATGTGTTTGAGAAGGCTGTGGACTGGGCGATTGCTCCGGCAAATTTCGCCGCGGACGAGATTCACGAAGCCAAACTCGCAGTTTTTCAAGCTGAAGACGCTCCGGTGTCGCCGGGAAGTCGGGGATTGACTGAGTTCCACTCGGGAATCTCTTACGATATGCAGAAGAAGCACAGAGAGCAAGTGCTTGCCGTGACCGAGGCAGATATTCGTGTAGCTTTGGAGAAGTATGTGAAGAATGCCAATGTCTCCGGGAGGTGTTTGATCGGACCGGAAACTGACAAGAGCGCGTCGTTGACGGAAGGATGGATAAAAGTAATCGCTAGTTGAGCTGTGAGATGACGTGAAAGGGCTAATTGTGCAATGATGGTTGTTCGGGCGCCAGTGGTATCCACTTCTGTTGCCGAAGAAAGTCTTAGTAGAGTTTCGTTTTGATTGCTGAAATATTTTTCATCGTGTTCGCGCTTGACGAGGTCGTTGAGCCTGGGGCATTTCCGGTCTTCCAGCTTGATTCGTGGAAAAAATCTCGATCGCGTCGGAATTGCTATTTCGCCACAATTTTCTTTCACCCTTTTTTTTGAAACCCGACACCGCAAAGAATTTTTGTTTTCAATGGGATTGAGCTCTCTTTGTCGGCTGAGTCATGTGCGCATTTTTCGTGTTTGTTTTTGATCGAAAGAAAAATTTTCCCCCGTCTCGGAATCATTTTTGCCTAAACTCCGTTTGCGCAACATTGTTGATCAGGTTTTGTTTGAGCCAGCGAGACTTGTATACTGATCGAATTCTCATCAAGAATATTCAGCTGTTCGTCGACTTTAGAAACGAAACTTTGTAATCACACTGTCACTGATTACTTCGAAGGCTTGCTCTGATACAATCGTAGTTCCGAAATTTTCTATAAATAAAACTGCTCGTGAATCTTTAAAAATACTGCTGAGGGTTTATTCTATGCGTGAACTCCGAGAAAGTTTCCAATTTTTACGAGAACAAAGAAGACTGCTGCGAAGGCAGTCTTAGGTTGAATCACTAAATTTTTCCATCTAAATGCCCCGCGAAAATGGGATTTTCTGGAGAAAATGCGGTATGATCAATTCGAAGGTGGTCAGTTGAATTCAATGCTGTCAGTTAATCGTATTTTCGTTCAAAGAATTATTGTGGCAATTGCTGCTATTGTGCTTGACATGGTCCAAACCTGATTTCTGCTTTTGCGCTGGTTCGTAACGGTGTCAGTGTTGATCCGTGTTCGTGACAGGAACACGGATGTTGTTCGTTCAGTTTATGCATTCGAGTTGTTCTTGGTATTTACTTATTTTTTCGGACAGACGAGCGACGAATTTGCGTTTGTCCCATGGTGCGACATGGATTTCGTCGATTCGTTGCTTCTCCAAGAAGCCATGGCCGCCGCGTCGCTCGAAGGACCCGAATGTGTTCCCCCAGTGTCGTTTTTCGAGGAAACTGAAGAAAAATTTTGGATCTGTGGACGGGCCTTCGATGGCAAAACGGATGAAGGTACGAAGTTTGGCGATGCTTCTTTGTCAATCTTTTTGATTTATACTCCATGAATTCCCTGCAGATCGCGAAAGAATTCGGGGAGCCTTGAGATCCTTCTTGTGGCAAACATATCGGAAGGGATTTCCTGCCATCGGTGATGAATCTGGCCCCACAAGTGATCGTGGATGGGGTTGCATGTTGCGGTGTGGTCAGATGGTTCTGGCTGAGAGTCTTTTGCGCCTTCAGTTGGGTGTGTTTTCTGGATTTGCTTCGTCATCTATTTAGACTAGTGAGAAGACGCGGCTATGCGATGTGAACTCTTATTTTTTTCTTGTTTCTTTTTTTTTGCTTGTAAGGCTGCTGCCTTAATCGATTATATTTATTTCCGTCTAGTTGGTTCCTTAAGTTTCAATTGAAGGTTAATGCCCAGAATATCACGATTTAAATTTTCTGTATTTCTTCGTTTTCCGACAAAATCCCTCATTTCCCTAACCCGAATATGCTTGCTGGGCCCTCGAAGTTTGATTTGAAGAGGTTCAACCGTAGCCCACTGAGGTGACGATGTTGTTGGTTCGAGTACTGCATAAAAAATGAGCGATACATTATTTCAGTCCTGTTATTATTTTATTTTGAGTGGTTTCTTTTATAAAAGTTTCGGTTTTTTCGGGTACCTTAAATGAAAAAATGGGATTATTTTTCATGCTACTCCATCAATTATTTGAATCTTGTAATTTCGTTGTATCCAGAGAGTAGCTCAATTCTTCTTGACTTCGCAAAAAGAGGTGATGGAAAACCTGCATTTTGTTTTTACTTCTGACAGTTCCGGGAAATAGGGAGGTATTAATTTGGTTTGCTCTCAGTATTTTTCTTCAAGTTCTTGATTAGATTCCTTACCAAATTGATTCAAGTTTTATCGAATTTTTCATTCTGAAGTGATAACTTGGTATTCATTTAGGCGCGGAAGATATGAAGGTTTTTCGAATTTCTGGTGAAAGTAATTCAAAGTAACTTGATACTTTTCAGGTGCCGGATGGATGTGGACTCGAGCATCGAGAGACGATTCGTATCTTTCGGTGTTATCCACTTTTGCGGACGAACCTTCAGCTCCTTTTTCGATACATCAGTTTGCATTAACGGGTGCTCAAGATGGGGGTAAATCCGTGGGCGAATGGTACGGGCCCAACACCGTGGCTCACGTTGTGAAAAAGCTCGTTTCGAAACTCCCGAATTGCGGGTTACGCGTTCACGTAGCGATGGACAATATGCTCATCAAAACGGACGTGAATAACGGCGAGGAATCTTGGAAGCCGTTGTTGCTTTTTGTTCCGCTTCGGTTGGGCCTAAGCGAAGTGAACGCGATTTATAAACCCGGGTTGAAAGCGTGTTTCAAGTTCAGCGCGGACATGTGTCTGGGGATCATTGGGGGAACCCCGAACCACGCGTTGTATTTTGTGGGCTGCGTCGGCGATGAACTGGTGTATTTGGATCCCCACACGACGCAACAGACTGCGAACCCGAAGATGAAAGAAGCGGATGATGAAAAGCAAGCGGATTTGAGTTATCATTGCAACTTTGCTCGGCGTATGCCCATGTTGCAGATAGATCCATCCATTGCCGTGGTTAGTTTTACAATGCTTTTAATATTCCATCGAAAAACACAGAATTCTTCGTAAAATCTAGTTTCGAAAATACAGTACTTTGACTTGAATGGAAGAATTATTCTCGTGAAGTGTGGAAATACTGTCTAAGGCGCCTTCATATAAAAATTGAGCCTAGTTTGTTTAGCTAACCTCAAACGAACCGAAAGTTCGCTGAAGAATCTAGGGAGCATTTTTGCTTGTAAAAAAAAAGAGCAACATGAGAATTGTACAATTATATCAAGATTTCAAACTTTGACAGTGACGGAATTTACTGTACAGTAATCTTTTCGTATGCCGAAAATCGCCTTGAAAAAGTGAATGTGAAGCCTCGTATACTCAAGTGTACTAAATTTGCGAGGAATACTCAACAATCCCCAAGAAAAATGTCCTTGCAGAATAACTTTGAAAACCTGGTCGTATGCTTCGTCATATTTATAGTTCTTTGAATTGTCTCTTGTCTTTCACACCATGCTTGCAGGATGTTCATTGAAGTACAGTAATTATATTTAAAAAGGGACTTTCTTTTTGCGCCGTCGACTACTATTTTCCTTAAAAATTGAGCCATCGGGTCAAAAAAGTTCTTTCATTTTTCTGTGGGTCAAAATTTAAAGAAAATAAATCATTGTCGTATATTCGAGTTGATTTTAAAATTGTCTTGACCTGTGGTTTTTTGCGTCGTAGCGTTGAGAATTATTTTTCTCACACTTCGACTGGATTAAAAACGACAATAATTTGCTTCCATTGCAGTGCTTCCTGTGTCAGACAGCCGAAGATTTCGAAGCGCTTTGTAAATGGAGCAAGCAATGTTTCGTGGACGTTGAAAAACAGCCGATTTTTGAGGTAATGGAGAATAAACCCGTGTATTCTTCGCTCTTGGCGGACCAAATTGAGTTTGAATATGACACTGCTCGGTTTGCGAGTGATGAAGGACTCGATTCAAGCGATGAATTTGAGATAGTCGGCTAAAATGTCCTAATTCCTATCCAGCAATTTGCCAGAACGTTTTCGAACTTCGAGAACTTGCGTTTCCGTGCTTTTCCGCTTGCTATCTCGCTATATTCAATGCGATGAAGGACATTTCTGTGATAACGGTTTGCGATGCGTGGAAATTAAAGGTTTCGGTGTTTACTGGAAAGGCGTTGAAGTTGTCAATCATTTGTTTTTTGATCAATAGTTTCTCTCTCCGCACATCCTTCTTTTATTATGTGTCAGCAATGACAGGTTTCGAAAATGTTGTCCAACATGTGGCGAAGTTATTGAAAGAATTTGAATGGATTCACGGTGTGGTGAACACGCGTCTGGTCTGCGAATCTGTGCTAGAGAAGTTGCCAGAAGATTGGCACGAATTTTTAAAATTGGCTGCCCCGGGAGATTTGCATGAAATAGCAGCTCTCAGCATTCCTGTGAGTGAGTCCGACAAGATTTCTTCAGGGTGAATTTGTTTGACTCCGATTATTTTCGTGATTCTAGAATAATTGCCCGCATTCCCTTGCCAAATTTTTGGATGAAGCTAAGATGTTGGTGTTGTGGAATTCAGCAGCCGAAACAGTAAAGCCTTTGAGGTATTTATTTTGTTTTCACGAAATTATACTGTATAACGTTTTGTATTTCGCGTCTTTTCAACGAAAAATTACCTTTCTCCTTAACTTTTTTTTCGAAGAAATAATCAAGCCTTATTACCATTATTGCCATACCTTTATTGATCACGAAGTTCGAACACGCCTGTTCTGGTGGGCTTTAAAAAATTCAAGGATCTGAGAACCGAGTCTTTAAAATTCCGGGAAGCTTCCGTTGCTTGAGTTGTATTTCAGCTTTATTGTATCATCTATGGAGCATTCAAATTGACAGTTTTAGAAGTAGATTACATAGTGTATTTGGCTGTACTTTGGTCAATTTCAGCGTAATGCATTTCATTTCTTTTGGAAATACAGATTTTATGACTCGTTTTATGATTTTATGACTCGTTTCATTCTTCTTTTATAAGAATAAGATGTGCATAAAAGTTGACTGCAGTATACTGTACTGTAAATTGAAGTAAAACACAGTCTATTTATCTTCACTATAATTTCTATTCTGGGATAAAAGGTGATGCTTCCTACAGTGGCAGAGAATGGAGTTAGGGCCGCATACTGGAGACTGATTCATGGTGTACGGGAGACTATTCTTTAAATTTACGAATTTTCTTTTTAATGTTCGGTTTTATAATTTTTCTTTGTGCGTGATTTTTAGGAAAATTCATGGACGCAAAGGAATTTCAACCAAGAAGCTGCACGAAGTGCAGATCATTTCGGATTTTTTTGTGAAGAATTTTTTACCTGATCAGATACTAGTTTTCGACATCGGATCTGGTAAAGTGAGTCCTGATGGTTTCTCAACTCGACAGACCGAACAGATTTTCATTGGCTTCTATTGCTTTGGAACAGGGCTATGTTGATGTTGCCTTAGCCAAAGCTGGATTCGAAATCATGGCTTTCGAGTTCGACGAGTCGAAGAGACCTTCAAATCTTACAGATCATCCGTTGATCGAGAACAGAAAATTCTACTTGAATGCGGATTCCAGCGACGAATTCTTACGGATTATTCTAGAAGCCTGCAGTAAGCTAGTTTTATTCACGTTACAGCAAAACCCAGGTTTTTTCTACAGAATGTCCATTTTATTTTACACATGTAAGGACAGAGGAAGAAACAAGCCTGCTTACTTTCCTTACACGGATGCGGAGACCTGACCCCTTCAATTCTGCGCAATTACGTCAGATTACCCGATGATATTCGCGGGGGGTTGGTTGTGATCCCCTGTTGCTATCACTTGGTTCAAACGAATACGTATGAACCAATGGTGGAATTTGGCACTTTCCCGCGTTTGGGTAAACCTAGCCTGAGGTTAGCTTCTCAAGACAGTCCATTGCTGTGGAAAATTAAGGAATGGAGTGACGCGGAGCATCTTCAGCATGCGAAGTCTGTCATTTACCGAGCTCTTTTGGAGTTCCTTGCTCACAAGGGTTAGTCTAAAAAATCACGAATGTTTTCTTTTGTTATGAAAATTTATAGAAAATACTGTATATGGATATGCAATAAGTTGTGATCGCCACGATGACGTGCGAGAAAAATGTATGGATGGTCCACAATTTTTGGAACTTCAGTACCGTAAAATTGAATACAGTGCATCAATCAGATTCTTTAAATTAGAAAATAGGTTGGAGAAACCATTTGCTCTTGATTTCTGTATATACTCGTCGAAGTTTTTGGACGTACGTTATCTTCAGCGATTTCGATGCAATTTCAATAATTCAATCCGATTGACTTAATAAATAAATGAAATGTCATCACATTTACTCGAGTGCCACAAGAACCTTCTTTTTTTCAAAATTAAAAAGAAAAAAGGTGCTCGTCTTAGTGATTTATTTAATAGTTTCAAGCCTTTCAACCTTTAAATTTCATTTGCATCGCATACTTGAGTCTCACTACATGAATAAAAATTTAAGAATGTATCATTAATATCCTCAGACATTGTTTGTGCTGTTTCTGCGTCAGGATTTTAAAACCGCCATATTCCAAGATCTGAAGTGAGAACGATAATCAGCTTTTGAAAATCTTTTTGAATTTAATCTGGAAAAGAAGGAATAATTATCGCGTTTAATGGCTGTAAGAAAAATCCGCTGTAATAAAAACGTTTTGATCAAGTCCTGTATGACACCACCGACGTTACATGAACTGATTATTTATGATTTCTTCTGTTATGAAACTTCGGTGCTTCGAATATTGTGTGTTTTATCTGAAGCAGCAGATTTATTCTTTCTACGCTACTTCCAGATGGCGTCAGTTTAGTCAAGTCCAAAGGATCCGACGGAGCTAACGTGAAACGGAGCGTTTACTTGGACTCTTTTGAAAAATATTTCTCCTCAGTATCCCACAAATTTAGGATACATGATGCCCTCGACGAAAGCATGAAAAATCTACCGGAATCTTGGCCAATCGACGGTCAAGCTCACCTTGACGCGAACTCCGATCTGTTGCAGATCGTGGAAGGCTTCACAGCTTTGCAATACTGCCTGCAACCAGTCATCGAAAGTTACATTTTGATGGATCGAGTGGAGTATTTACGTCGATCGTTGACGAAGGAAGATATCCATGCTGTGAAATTATTCGATGATGTGATATCCCCTCGATGTTGGGGAATAGTGTCTATAAGAGGGTCATCTTGAAGTGTTCTTGTGTATTCAAAACTGTACGAAACGGAATTTTTTACTGATCGTATGCGCGTAATTAAAAAAAAAAAGTATTTCTCGATGCAACTGTGAACTCGGGAAGAGTAGTAGTGTGTATAACTTTGATGGAAAGCTAACAATTATTCGTACTTTCGCAAGAAATTTTCTCTGCAGTTTTCTCTTCGACGTCTCTGAAGGAATGCTCAAAGTTAACATAATTTTGTTCTTTTCAATATTTTACCTTAAAAGTATAACTTTTTAAACTTCAGCGTTTCGAAAACAACTCCGGCAGCAGCTGAACCAACTAAAAATAAAGAGCAGTTATCGGAAGTCTGTGCTTAGAAGGATTGCCATGTGACTGCAATTGGTTATATACAACGCAACACGGTTGCTGACAAGCTTTTTAGGCATTTCTGCATTTTCTTAATTCATTTTCTGAAAGTTTTTCAATTCAGGGATTGAAATGCTGGACAAGTTTTTTGAAGACTTTGATTCCAGCCGAAGTGTGCGAGGACTGGGATTCAATGAATAATCACAACTTTTTTTCTGACTGTATTATTTTGTCAAGGAACCACCTGATGAACTCAGTCTCATGGCAAATCTTCTGACCAAAAAAATCATATCATTGATCTTTGTTTTTCTTTGGAGCAAACTGCAATTGAGTTCCGCGCCCATTTTACTTTTCTCACCTCTTCATACAGCATTTCAATTCGAAGCAGAGTGTATCAGTTGAGATTATCGGATCGTTTGGATAACTTCCTTAATCATACCACAGATTTGGACCGCAGGCGATTGAAAATGGAGGATTAGCTGGTTATCTTTTATTTGTGCAATATTTATCTCAAAGGATTTTGTGAATTTTGCTCTTGTTCAGATGGATATAGTGCCGAAAACGGAGGTGGTGAAGAAGCGGATCATCCGCGTTCCTCCTTCGATAAGTGAAAATCCGTTATTAATCGAAGCATGCAAAGTCCTCCCCAAAAATTACAATTTCGAAATCCCGAAAACGATCTGGAGAATACAATCCTCAGAGTGTCGACGCGTGGGCCTTCAGATGCCGGAAGGTCTCCTCCTTTATTTTGTCAAGGAACCACCTGATGAACTCAGTCTCATGGCAAATCTTCTGACCAAAAAAATCATATCATTGATCTTTGTTTTTCTTTGGAGCAAACTGCAATTGAGTTCCGCGCCCATTTTACTTTTCTCACCTCTTCATACAGCATTTCAATTCGAAGCAGAGTGTATCAGTTGAGATTATCGGATCGTTTGGATAACTTCCTTAATCATACCACAGATTTGGACCGCAGGCGATTGAAAATGGAGGATTGGCTGGTTATCTTTTATTTGTGCAATATTTATCTCAAAGGATTTTGTGAATTTTGCTCTTGTTCAGATGGATATAGTGCCGAAAACGGAGGTGGTGAAAAAGCGGATCATCCGCGTTCCTCCTTCGATAAGTGAAAACCCGTTATTAATCGAAGCATGCAAAGTCCTCCCCAAAAATTACAATTTCGAAATCCCGAAAACGATCTGGAGAATACAATCCTCAGAGTGTCGACGCGTGGGCCTTCAGATGCCGGAAGGTCTCCTCCTCTTCGCCACGACGATCGCGGACATTTTGATTCAGTTTGCCAACGTGGAAGTCGTCATCATGGGCGACGTGACTTACGGAGCATGCTGCGTTGATGACTTCACTGCGAAACGCGTCGGTGTAGACTTTTTGGTCCATTACGGCCACTCGTGCCTTGTGCCGATTGACGTGACTTCTCAAAGTGGTGTCATTGTAATGTACGTGTTTGTTGACGTGGCTTTTGACGTGTCGCACGCGATAGAATGTGTCGTTGCCAACTTGAATCCGGGTTCTTGCGTGGCTTTGGCGAGTACTGTGCAATTTCTCACGGCATTGCACGAAGTAGCGGAGGCATTGAAGGAGCGCGGGTTTGATCCCCGATTTTTGCAATCGAGGCCCTTATCCAAGGGAGAAGTCTTGGGATGCACTGCTGCGAATGCGGCGCCGGAGGCTGAAAGTCTGCTGTTTCTTGGCGATGGAAGGTTTGAATTTTTCAAACCTGCTTGGGATTCTGGTTTTGGTTCATAATTCAGTTCAATCCGATTAGACCTGCGTTTAATCCGAACAAAACGTAGGTTGAACAAAGATGAGATGACTAACGTTTGTGTGCGGCATTGTTTTTTATTTATTTACTTAAATTTATATGAGCTACAATATTCTGAATTTAAATCGATTCTTCGTAAACAACATTGAGAACTAATCGTCAATTCGCAGTAAATTTCATCGTTGAAACAGCTTCCTGTAGAACGGTGTTCCCCAACCTTCTTGGGCTTACGGACGGCAAATTTCCATAAAACTTTTCTGCGGACCGTAACATTTTTGGCGACCCAAAAAAGGTTTGTTTCAAAAATTGTATGGCAGTTATTTAAAAAAGTTCTGCTTCTTTCGAAAAATTAAGTCAAGAACCAATGAAACAACGTCATTGGAATGTCTTTAAAAAATAGAAAGGCGGGCTTGAAGAAAGGTTTCTCAGAATAAAAAATTAAAGTATCTTATTTCAGAGGGTGAAAATTTTTCTGAAGCATTATTTATTAAGCAAACTTTTATTTTTCTTCAAATAATTCGAACTGCCGTTGCCTTTCCGAAATTTCAGACGATGACAGACTTCATTGCTACTTCTGATGAATTTGTTATGGTGAAGGAAATTTCCCGCGGGCAGTCAGAAAACTTTTGCAGACCGCGGACTCCTTCCTACACCAGTCTGCAGACCACTGGTTGGGGTACACTGATGTAGAATATTTACGATGTGCACAAAATCTTTCAACTACAGTACATTGAATTTACTCATGAGGAAATACAGTATATTTAAGCCTGTGCTTTGCCAAGTTTTATTCGAGATCGTGATAGGCTCGCGTGTGAATCCATAGTTTTATTTCTTACATTTCTTGAACGTGTTTCATCTTAGATTAATTAGACGATGGTAAAGATTACTGTATTCAATTGGAGTATCACTCAATCCAAATCCGTCGATTGTTGTGTAGGTTTCATTTGGAGGCCGCCATGATCGCAAATCCTCACCTTCCTGCGTACAAGTACGACCCATATTCGAAGAAATTTACAATTGAAAAGTATGACCATCAAAACATGATGGAAACGAGAAAGAAATCCGTAGAAGCCGTGTTCTTTGGACATGGAACCAAAGTAGGAATAATCCTAGGCACTTTGGGCCGTCAAGGAAATCCAGGTGTTCTACGGATGCTTGAGGTGAGCACTTTTTCCAACTACAGTATTTCGAAAATTATTAGGAGTGCGAGTTTAATGAAGTAACGGATAATTTCCGCGTGCTGTTTAGCAAACAAAAGTCTACCGCCAGTTGAACGTTTTTTATTATTTTAATTCCTTCCCCCCCCCCCCCACACTTTTCGACGCATTCTCCACCAATTGGAACGCATTTTTAGCTTTTGATTGAGGAATTTTGATATTTCAGAATTTTCTACGTTTTCTTCAACTATCAAATTTCCATCTTCGATAATGCTTGTAACCAATGTCTGTGATAATGTTGGGAAAATTGCTGAGGGCACTTGGTTGCTCTGAGACCGTACAGGATATGTATGTAGGGTGGACTCGCTTTACAATAAATTTCAGGCGACAAGACAAATTCGTTATGGAGAGAAATCGTTGTAGATGAGATCACTGTAGACAATATCGTTTTAGAGAGAGTCTACCTGTAAAAGATACGGTACATCTTTCTGATTTGTCGTATGAACGGATGGGAAATTAAACTGCGTTATATACTGACAAATTTTTTCATTCCAATCATTTCCGTTTCCCTCTTTTTAAAATTTCCCACGAACCGTACAAATTAGAAATTACAGTATTAATTATGGGAGGAAAAAAAACGGCCACTGATGCAGACTCAACGCCCTTCAATTCATCCGACGTTTCAGGACTGATCTTTTTTTTTTTTACATGTATACTCCCTCTTCAACGATTTTCTCTGTACTGTATACACATTTTTTGGTCCCATTGGGTTTTCTACACGAGAATTCTCTGAAATTTTTTTATGGTCCCCTGAAATTCATTGTGTAGAGAGTCCACCCTATGTATACTGTGAACAGTGTAAAGTCTCCGAGCGATCAAGTGTCCCCAGGGTACAGTAATTCATAAATTTTCGCAGGCATATGTTTACAAGCATTATCAAAGGGTCAGAGGTGCCAATGTCAGATTTGACGATGGAAACACGTACAATTTGTATTTTTGGAAAGAGGTCAGCATAAATTCTATGCTGACTTCTCTCCGCTTGAAATACTTTCGTACAGTATTTAGGAACGGAAAAAATCGGACTGCCCGCGGAAATTAGTCTGGAGAGCAGCTTGAAACGCATTTAAAATCATATAAAAATGTATTGTTCAAAATTTTTCGATAGCAAAAAGCGGAGAGCATCGGTTGCGAGACCACACTCTTCCTCATGTCGGAAGTGTTTCCGGATAAATTGAAGCTCTGCTCAGGTATCGATGTTTGGGTTCAAGTAGCTTGTCCCAGGCTGTCCATCGACTGGGGAGAAGCCTTCGACAAACCCATTTTAACCCCTTACGAAGCTGCTGTGGCTTTGAACATGCAAACCTGGAAAGATGTGTATCCCATGGATTTTTACGCCGCAGGAAGTCTCGGAAAATGGACTCCTGGTCACAAGTGTGGCAAAAAAGAAAAGACTTGCGGCTGTGATGTTCAGAATTGATATTTTTCTGATCCTCAGACGTGATTGGAAGCGCAAAAGTCGTGGTTTCAATTGTTTTGTCCTGTGACGAAAATATAAAAAAAAGCTCTTATTATAATTTTTAACGAATGTGTTTCATTACTTGGGTGAGTTCAATAGTTTTTTCTTGATTCTTTGTATCATCAGTGCTTTTAGATGTCTTGCAATTTCATGCTCACGCATATGGAAGTTAAGAGAAAAAAGTTGAAATATATGCTGTGTATGGTTTAACCGCGAAAAACTGCATTAGCCTGCGTTGCTGTTTAAAAAAAAATTAGTTTCATGTTTGAAATTTCTCAAGGACTGAAATTCATCGTGGGGGTGATTATTCAAATAAAATGATCAAACGTCTTCGAGTTGAACTGCAAGGGACCAACGAAAAAATTCGAGTTAAGGAAAGCAGAACTTTTGTTCGGGAATTAGAGAATAATTACGGGAAATTGTAATCGGTGATATTCTGGGCCTTTCATTGCTTCTTGAATAAGTTGAAACTTGAAAGTTGAAAGGATGCTAAACTTGGAGTCAAGAATTCATTGTTCAGGGAATCTTTCACTTCCTTTCAAAGCACATCAATTACAGTACAATTTTTTTGAGTTTCTCTTCCCTGTCTCAATAAAGTAATAGCCTCCAAAAAAAGTGGGTTATGAAGGTTTGAGGGGAAAGCCTTTGAGTTATGGAGAGGTATATGTAATACAGGATTACTCAGAGAGCAACTTGAAGAAAGAAATCAGCATGAGGAGGTTTGAGTTATTGAGGTTCAAACGTATCAAGAAAATTTTCCCAGGATACGGCATCATAAATTATGAAATAAGTTGTGCAGATCTTGCCTGAACTTGAAGAGGATCCTTGTTCTTTTCGCAGGGAAGTTTTCTCGTAAGCCTTGTGATTGATCCCACCGTTTTTTGAAAAATGCCAGTAACAAATTTTGCGCAAAAAGAAATTCCTGATGAAATTCCATTTTTTATCTATTTTTGAATCGTGGAATTCGTAGAATACTGAAAAATGCAGCGACTTTCGTCCTTTGTGATTCGATTGTCTTGATGACGGGGCAGCACTCCTGATTTTTAATAACCTAAGAAGTTCGCTGAAGGAATTTCAATCACTTCCATATTTAGCCACATGTATACTTCACATTCACCACATAAATAGTTTCACCACATTTTTAAATATATGAATTTCAACTTTGGAGCTGTATTCAAACATTCATTTAACGATCTTTTACGAAGTTTATAGTCCAAGAATTCTTGTCCGATTCATTTTCTTATGCTGTAATTTCAGCTGCTTCGATTTATTTCGAAAGTTCTTGAAGATTTATTGGAAGTGTATAACTCTGCATTGCTTTTTTCAAGACTGCCAGGTTTCTTACTTGTGGCATTGATGAGCCAGGTGACTGTTGCGTACTTTTTCTTTCCTGGATAGTAATTTTTTCCCGATCATCCGCGATGAGAAGGAATGGGATTCCATTTTCAGTCTGAATAGTCGAGTGTGTGTTGGGGAGTATTTATTCATCAAAGTCATCCGACCTTGAATTTTATTTCGCTCTCAATTCAACCAAATTTCGATATGACGCATAGTCCGAATTAAAAAAAAAAGGTTTCAGAAGGGATCATCAATCGACTCGCTTGAACTGCCAAACCGGAAAATGGGAACTCTGTGCGGAGAAGGAACTTTGAGGAAATCCATTTGCACGGGACTGGTTTTCGGCGTGCTGACTGCTTCGTCAGGTAAATGTGATTCTCTTCGCAAATTCCAAGGCCTCGACTTTCTCATCATGGGCAATGTTCCCGGTCTTCTCCATTCCACTTCTTCGGTCTCAGATGACCTTTCTGATGCGGAAAGTTGCATAATGGAGTCGTCGGCTGCTGATGGAACAGCTGCGCCTGGGAATTTCATTTTATTTATTTTAGAAATTGTAAATCCTTGTATTCTTTCTGTTTTCTTTGACGCGTTAATCTTACTGAAAAATTCTTCATCTGCTGATGGGATGATCGACAGTTTCGGAATGGCCAAAGACAAGCGTTGCTTCCTGCTTTTTACTGCGTGTTCCTTTGAATGCGTATCTCCAAAAACGGTGATGGAGTTGAGACCTGGGTCGGATTCCTGGGCATCGGAATGCGTCTTTGGCGGCCAAGACAAAAAACAAAACATAAAAATTATCATAGAACTTTAAGAAGTCAACAGGGATGAGAGTTTCAATCGGCGGATTCCGAGTGTACTCCCAATTTTTCTTGTTATCAAGGTACAATATATTCAAATTATTTCTGAACGTGAAGTTGAGTAAATTTTCCAAACGAAGTATAATTTTCTCAGAATATCTTCCACCCTGTCCACAATGATTATAGAGCCATAATTGATGAGTGTATACAGTTGAGATATGTTCGTTGAGGTTCCGCTTTGGAAATTGAAAAATAGGACTTGAGAAAAAGGCGGAAATTTAATCTCTTCGAAGATGTTGAGAATTTTGAAGATTGTTCCAAGTACTGTTCATCAATATACATTATAGTGCAAATTTGAATCTTTCCTGGAAAAAATATTTGTTTTTATTTTTGTAGTTCTTCAGTTGAAAATAGCTCTGATCAAATAAAGGTCAAAAATGAAGAAAGGTTCTTTCAGTTTTCCTACCTGACGAAAAATTTCCGTATATTTCCATCGAAGAAATTTGTCATTATCTTTTATACTCATAAAATTTTCAACAAGGAGCATTAGGTAAAAACGTGCCTTCAATTTTTACGATTTATTACTACAGTACTTCATTCCTGAATATATATAGTACAAATTTGATTTGTCACCAAGAAATATTCGCTGCCTTCTGCGTTGCTTCACTAAACGTTTTTTTTATTTGACGGTCAACATTCAAATGAAGACGGAATATTTGAAAATAATCTATTTCTTGGAAACGGAGCAATGGTGACATAAAATATACTGTACCTGGATTAATGTACTGTATGTAAAAAATTAAGATTTTCGTTGATGATGAAAATATCATGTGCCTAAAACATTAGGACTAATTCCTTTTGTATTTTTCTGGTGGAAATGCTGTACGGAAAATTTTCGCGAGGTTGGAAACTTACAAGAAAGTTCAGTTTCGTAAAAAAATGTTATGCAAAGCAATAAATCAACTCTTTATGATCGACGTTAGATATCACTTAGATGAAATCGATGATTTATTCCAGGAAATATGAAGGACGTGAGAAACAATAAGTACAGCATCAAAGATAATCGCTGAAGCATCTCTGAAAATATCCCGGAATATGCAGAGCTGATCAGAAATTTTCGTAAAAAAGAAATGAAATTCCTCGTCAGCGATTTTAGCTTTTACATTAAAAAAATCAAAGTGCACCTTCATTTTGATGGAAAATTGAAGTTAATTTAGTAAAACACTTTAAATTGTCGAAAATATGTGAAATTTAAATTTTAAAAAGAGAACAAAGTCGGTTAAACCTTTTTCACCCTTTCACGCTTATACAGTACTTCTTAAAGATCGTTACTTTTTCCTTCTCCACCCGGTAAAATTGTGAATAGTTTTTAAAAATTGAGAAATGAATTGAGTGCATTCGGAATCCCATCGAAACAATCATAATTCATCTGATGTGATCACGAAAGTTGCATCAGGAAACGAAACCTGGGGTCCGTTCTGGCAATTGTCCACTTCTTTTTGACCCTCCAAAACGCTCCGGGAGCCTCCGAAGATGAAAAACCCCCGGGAAAAATTGCCCACGGCTGGACTCGTTTTGCTCAACAAGCGGTGGAATGTTGTCCGGAAATGACCCTTTTTGTCCAGCAGGGTCGAGGATGTTTCATGTGGGATGAGCCTGTCCCATTCTACCACGATTTCCGGATATTCCCCGTGCATGTCGGTAACCATCGAATTTGAGACCTGGTATATAAATGCATACATATGTTGATGGAAGAGTGGAAATCTTCGAGTTAATCAGGTGCACAACTTGCGACATTTCAATGACTAATTTGCGTCGAGTCATCTCGATTTATTGTGATGTTAAAAATAGTGTACGTTTTGATTTTGTGAAAAGCGACGGAGAAGGTTTGAATGCTATTCTCCCTCCTCACTTTTTTTTAGCGTTTCTTTACATTGTCCATCTCGATTTATTATGATGTTAAAAATAGTGTACTCTATGATTTTGTGAAAAGCGACGGAGAAATTTTGAATGCTATTCTCCCTCCCCCTCTCCTTTTGTTTTAGCATTTCTTTACATTTTCCATATCGATTTATTATGATGTTGAAAATAGTTTCTCACGGATTTTGTGAAAAGCGACGGAGAAATTTTGAATGCCATTCTCCCTCCCCGTCCCCTTGTGTTTTAGCATTTCTTTACATTACATTTTGCCGCTGTAAAGTAAGCTCAAGCATCAACGTCTCTTCTAAATATGTTCCATATCTTTCGACGTTTACCACAGCAGATTCATCGCACGATAAAAACGAGCTGCAAATTTTGATCGCTTTCTTTTTGTATCTAACGCAACAGCAAGAGGCTTATGATAAACGAAGTTGTGACCGAGCCAGAAATAATTACTCGCCACGGCCACGCCATTATTATTTTACATTTTCCATATCGATTTATTATGATGTTGAAAATAGTTTCTCACGGATTTTGTGAAAAGCGACGGAGAAATTTTGAATGCCATTCTCCCTCCCCGTCCCCTTGTGTTTTAGCATTTCTTTACATTTTCCGTCCAGATTTTGACGATAATCCGGAACTTCATTGACTTTTTCTGAGAAATTATTATTATACTGTAGTACAGTATTAAAATCACGCGCATAATCTGATACCTTCCGGAATGAAATAGAAAACGTTTTAGAATTTACTTTTCGGTTTATGTGAGCCCCCTTTTATTCCCAAAAGCATCATATTTTATTTACAGTGTTGTGTGTTGAAATTTTGCGAGATCACGCTTGTTACTTATTATTTTGCTCTTGCATTGGATTCGACTGATTCGGGACTTTTTCATCTTAAGAAGAGCCAATCCTAAATTTCTCAATATCTTTCCATGCAGCGATATTCCAGGCAAAAGATAGTTTCATAACCTTTTTTGTTGTTGCCAAGATCGCATTGACCCAATATTTCTCTTTTTCCGAAGGATACTCTGGCTGAGTGTATTTCGGAGTAGCGTTTATATTTTGTGCTTTTGCCACTCTCAATGTAGATGACCGTGTTAATCAGCAGTGCTGTCCAACTCAGACGTGGCCGAGGGCCACATTATTAATTTTTTTTTGGCCAATGGCCACGTTTCAGAGGCGGGAAGCCCTTTGGCAGTCCAAAACCGCCAATATGTTTTTGGGATTCCAAAATGTCCCCTTATAAAAGAACAAGGTTTGAAATTTATTTCAAGGCTATATGCATAATTGAATCACAACCATGGTCGAATAGAAATTCTGAAGGATGGAGGAACATTTTCGATTTATTTTTCCGAAAGATATTTTGGATAGTGGCGGCTAATTCCACCTCAATAATTTTTATAGGAAATGGACTTCGGGACAGCTGAAGAATCTCTGTTTCGTGTGAAATATTTCCGGGTGCCTTTGATCGTTCATTATATTACAACAGACTAACTTTTCAATTCAATTTATAATTTTTTTTTTAATTTTGAAACATTTTAAAAATGTTAAAGGTTCCAACAAGATAAAATAGCCCCGAAGAAACGACGACTCAATAATTTCATTAATTGCAATAATTTTTTAAATCTCAAGTAAATAATTTTTGATAACTTAATATTTTAAAATAATTATTTCTTCTCCCAAAACTGATTGCACAGGGCTTCTTAACTTTAATTTTTGGATGATTACAGTTGCCGCTGTAAAGTAAGCTCGAGTATCAACGTCTCTTCTAAATATTTTTCAAATCTTTCGACGTTTACCACGGCAGATTCATCGCACATATTTTTGCTCGACGTTTAAAACTAGCGAAAGAAAAACATAGATTGCGTTGTCGTTCTCCGAATACTATTTGCTTCAACACTGGCTCGGTCTTTATTAATGAGCGGTGCCGGTGCGGTAATAATAAAAAATACTTTCTCATATCTTAGACACTTAGAGCATACGACTATTATACCGCCTTTTGTCTTCGTCATAATGCGAATGCAGCTCCTGTCAGTTCCGACCTTGAAAGCGTTAATGGTCAATCGATTCATAATCCCCCCCCCCCGCGCCATTTCTCACATGAAGATATACTTATATAAGCGGGGAATTATTATAGGAGAAAAATATAATTTATCGCTTCTTTCTGTGTACATCAGCAGGCATTTTTGTCAGCGTCACTCACCCGAATGTTGCGATCGATGAGCCAGTTGAGGTCGAGGTCTTCGTCGCCCGGTGATCCTGGTGGACACACCAAGGCCTCACAGGCCCTGAGCCAGCCCAAGTACAAGAACAACTTCCACATCAGCAGGCACATATACGAGGTGTGACGACGATGAAGAGACCGTACATGTATAGGAGAAAAAGTTCGCATCAATGATTCATCCTCGCTTCAGATCGAAGTGCATGATGAACAGTGTATGACTTTTTCATGACGCGCCACTTGCTGCTGATGGTCAGCACATCATTATTATAGGAACCACCAGGAGCAGGACACGATTATGGTGCTGGGTCAAATGACCGCCGAACGAACCCAACTGAGCGACGATCGAAACCGACTCAGAATATTGCAACTGAAGTCTCATGAGTTCAGCGCTGACGATTGCATTTTCATTTATTTATTTATTGACAGATTGTTCAGTATTTCTGCGTACGTTGTTGCGAATTTAGTCTGCTGCTTTGAAGAAAATGGCAATTTTTCATGTTATCAGTCTTATCTTCTCATTTAATCTCTCAAAGAGAGCGTGAGCAGTCTATATTATGTTTAAGCCTAGTTGTAAGAAATTGGTAAAGATACCTCGTCATAAAAAACGATGAGTTTTGCTGATTTGCCAAAACTTGTCTTTAGAAGCTTCTGTGAGAATTGGGTTTCACCCCAACTCTCACAGGAAATGAAAAAGACCAAATGGTCTTATAAAAATCTGAACCTTTAGAAGCTCAGAAAATTTTAAAAAGAAACCTAATAGCTAAGGTACAAGTCTTAGTGGAAATTTCCATGACCTTGCAAACCCATCTTCCCAAAAGAGTGCCAAAAGGGACTTCACTTCCTCTTGAACCTCAGAACCAAGCAGATCAAAACCAATTCTTGGCAAACTTGGTGTTTATGAAAATGAAGCATCAAAATATATCAAAATTAGAATAGGGTGTTTATAGGCACCCTTGTTGTAGCACAACCAAATCCTTGTGTATTATTTTAAAAATCATTGGACTGTAACATCAGTCTCTCCAACATGAATCATGAACACCATTCTTTATCAGCTGGAAAAATAGCACAATTGTCCATTTTTTTGCAATTGTCCATTTTTTTGCGTGAACTTCAATAATGCTGATAATCATTAATGTGCATGAAGTTTTTGCCTTTTTTCTATACTCTTTCTTGGCCCACGAGCAAGAATGGCAGTTAATTTATCATCAATCAAACATTCAATTATTAGCAACATTTTATGTATTAGTGCATGGGCACCATTCTGAACAAGTTTTTTGCTGGTCCTCGGGACATTTTCAGCACAGTACAGTACATTAAATGCATCAGAATTTGCGAAGAAGTCTGTTATTGTTATCTGATGGTTTGGAAAGACAATGGGATTTGAAATTATCTGATTAAAATAAAAGTTGGCCTCATACCTTACCAAAGCTTAAGAAAAATTTTCACCTGCTGAAATAAATCATTTCCAGTTTTCCTTCTGGGAAACAAATTTTTTTTGCCCAGCTTTCTTATTTTTTGAAGGCATTGCACTATAGCTGCTTCCCTGGTTCTTAACTTAATTTTTGAAATAAAAGTTTTGTTTGAAGGGCTTTATGGGAGATATTAGGATGTTTTTCTATGGGAGCCTGCCAAAATTTTATGGAACGCCGCTGGACCGCAGAAAATGTTATGGAAATATGCCGGTCCGTGGGTTCAAAAAGGTTGGGGAACACGCACTGTGCTAAAGCACCATCAATCTCTCAATTGAATTTTTTTCAACCGACTGAAAATTTTACTTCAAAATCGGTCTTTGCTTTGAATGTTGAGTCGTTCCTTTCACTGTATGATTATTGCAGGTCTTTCCCATTGGCGGAGATGCTCTGTTGGGACATGACTCACATCGTTTCGCCGGTATATATTGCGCTCATTTGGGTGGTGCCTCATTTGTACGGTGGCATTGCAGTCATGAAACTCACCTCCACCACTGCAGTGAATGGGAAGAAGGCCACGAAGTGCTCGTCATCGCCTTTGAAAACCACTTGGCTGGCAAACAGCGTCAATGCAAAGTACAAGTAGACTCCCACCGTGTTCCGATATATACCAACTTTAAAATAGGGTGTTTTGCACCCCGGTCGTAGCCCGACCGAAGTCTTGTGTTTTATTTAAACCTCTCTTTATAAAACTCTCAATCCTAAATTCTAATCTTCACCTTGTCAGGATTTATTCCCAACAGCTCTGTTGGGACATAACTCACATCGTTTTGCTGGTATATATTGCGCTCATTTGGGTGGTGCCTCATTTGTACGGTGGCATACGTCAGTACTTTGAGTGGAGGTGGTGACGTCACTTACCCTTCTTCCGGTGCTTCACGAGCAGTAGCGGAAACTTTTGGTGAACCGACCGTTTGTCGCAGTTACGTTTCATGTTCATCTGAGGGTGGCTCACCACCTGCGTCACTCATCGTCATCACACGAGAAGGGTTTATGAATTCGAGCAACGCATGTATACACACAGTACAGGGTGGGTATGAAAAAGAGAAAAAATTGGACTGGAATATTCCGAAATTATAATTTTCTTTCGGAAGAACAAAAATTGTGCTGAATTCGAGCTTTTTGCACGAAATCTTCTGTAAGATCGATACTTTTGCTGCGAGAACTCTCCGTCTGTCGTGACATTTTATTTCTGGGATTTTGCATTTCACAAATTTTCCATGAAGTGCACTTTTTTCTGTATTAAAAAATGTCTTCTAAATTTGACGGATTTGAATTCGTAGTTCCGTATAGCTATATTCTTGTATGCGAAAGGACAATGTTGACGGAGAACGATAATTTCTAAAATTTGGGTTTATTAATTACGGAATTCCCAAATCCCTGAAGTTTGCATCCTGCTTTCAACTATTTCAAGGAAAAAAAAAATTGTTGTGCTGAGCGCCAATGATTATTTGTTCATTTTTTGATTATCAATCGGCTTTTTTTCGCTTTTTCTTGTACGGGGGTTGTCCCACTTCTATTTCTGGACTGGGTACCGCTTTGAAAAAAATACAGTACAGTATCTGGGATTTTTGTTGAAAATTTTTAGATTTAATGCAAGGCAATAAGTAAAAACTTTCCAGTTTTGACAAGGGTTTTCCATCCACGTCACAAGCTGTTAAAACTTTCTCCTGCAAAAAAATTGCCAATTTTTTTTTATCGTTTTTAGAATAATATTTCCTACATTTTTCGTCCTTTCCAAATTTTTTCAATAACAATTTTTTCAGACAGAAATAAAAACGTTGGTCAATTTTGAATTTTTCCAAAGGCAATTTTTCATCACCGATTATTTTATTTATTTTTTCTTCAACAAAATCCAAAGCCCGGTTTCTGCTTGTGATATGTTCCTCATTACCTTGAGATTTGAGGATTCTTCTGCTTATTTTATTTATTTTCTGAATAAATGTGGATTTTTTTTTCAAATGGCTGTGATCAAAGTAATCCAGCTGAAATAAACAGGAATTAAGTCCTGTGCAGATAATTAAACGAAATTTTTTTTTCGAAGTACAGTATATAAAGTATTGTATATATTGTACAGTACAATCAATAAATCTTTATATTAACAACGCTGCAATTTTCGGTCGTCGTCCCTGCAAATACTGTTCTTGCATATATTTGTCCTCAAACGTAAGGACGCAACTATTCTTTATTCATGCCATCTGGAGAGTTATTATTGAAATTATAGCACTGTATTGTACCTGAAGAAAGATAAGAGGGACATTGACGAGCGCCACTTGAAGACTCGAGCCGCATCGTCGTCTGAAATCTGAAATTTGGTCCAGAATTTTCAGCATGGACTTGTCGCTGGGAATGTGTCCTTCTCTTCGGGCACGATTCACTATCGTGGATGCCCAGACCAAAGGGACGTGATACAAATGCTGGATCCCCTTCACCTTTTCAATTTCTTCCAACAAAATCTTCTCATCTTCGGTTATGAGTCCTATCATTCGACGACGAGAAGTATTTGAAAACGATTGTGTGAGGCTTATTATACGAGGGTTCTAACGAAAGTTCTCGGAATATAAATGAAAAGAGCGTATATAGTCGAGCTGAAAAAAATTATTCTTTTGGGAAAACATATTCTTTGGCACCAAAAAAAATCAGCCCTGTTTGACAATTGTTTTTAATGTTGTGCAAAATTTCCCCTGGCAGGGTTTTTCTCTCCACTCAAAAGATGAGGCGCTCTTCCTGCAGTTTTTTTTGTAGCCTAAAAAAAATTTGTCAAACAGGGCTGATTTTTTTTGTGCCAAAGAATATGTCTTCCCAGAAGAATAATTGTTTTTCAGCTCGATTATACTCCATTTTCATTTATATTCCAAGATCTTTTGTTAGAACCCTCTTAATGCAAGCATCATTTTTAAATAAGGGCAATGACACGCTTTTATTAAACTTATTTGAGAGAGAGTGAGAGAGAGAGAGAGAGAGAAACACCATCTCAGGATTCACGCATACAGTACAGTATTGTACCAACATTTTCTTAAATTCTTCAATATAAGCTCACAGATGCTGCCAAAATGAGTTAAAATGTGCATCCACAGTATATGTTTAATAAATGCAGCGTCTAAACTAATTTACTGCTAGTACAGAACTTACCAAGTGCGATCATTTTTTTTTATTTTCTATAGGAAAGTGTAAATGTTCTGCGAAGATGGCTTATTGGCAATTACAAAAAAAATCGTCTGTTCGAATTCATTCAACACTATCTAAAGTATTTTGAATACAATGGTGGTACACTAGAAGTTTCGACTTCGATTCAAATTGAGTACAGTAGTAGAATCTCGTTATATACAACGAATGTCGTGATTAAGAATTGATGGTTACACAATTAACGAATTTGTTTTTTGGTCCTTATCCTTGTTCAATACCCACAATGCTGCTTTAATTTCATTTCAACGAGATTTTCGTTCATAACGAAGATGCTTAAAAGTTGCAAACGCTTCGTTGTAACGAGATTCCACCTTAGTTGATCATGTATAGTTATAGAAATGAAAATTTGAGACTTGAAGTATTAAACCTTCGAAGCGGATGAGAGGAGCATCAATTGTAAGCTATTTAAAGCGTCTTTCAAATTAATTTTGCGATCCAATTCAAAATACACATCGATTCATTATTTTTCTTCTCATGATTTTCCATAATTTTTTTACGCAGGAATACTTACCGTAAGAGACGTAGTCTTTCCAGGAGTTGAATCGCTTCTGAACAGATGGTATCAGCAAAGCCATCGTTTGCACCAAAGAGAAATTCACGTAGCGGACGATAGTTTGCCTCATTAGTCGAGCTCTTTCGTCCTGCAACATCATTGGCATAATTTTGTCATGGAAATAATTAATGACACAATCATGCACTGATGCATGCAGCGATGGGCAATAACACGCATTTCAGAAAGAGCTAACTACTTTATCAGCAGAAGGTATGCATAGAGAACACGTGTGTAGTTTGCGAGCAAATACATAATTTTCATTCATCACAAAGCCTAAAANTTATTACCTAGAACAAATTTTAGTTTTTGAGTTTTTGATTATATATAGTTGAAGAAATGAAAATTTGAGACTTGAATTATTAAACCTTCGAAGTAAATGAGAGGAACATAAATTGTAAGCTATTTAAAGCGTCTTTCAAATTAATTTTGCGATCCAATTCAAAATACACATCGATTCATTATTTTTCTTCTCATGATTTTCCATAATTTTTTTTACGCAGGAATACTTACCGTAAGAGACGTAGTCTTTCCAGGAGTTGAATCGCTTCTGAACAGATGGTATCAGCAAAGCCATCGTTTGCACCAAAGAGAAATTCACGTAGCGGACGATAGTTTGCCTCATTAGTCGAGCTCTTTCGTCCTGCAACATCATTGGCATAATTTTGTCATGGAAATAATTAATGACACAATCATGCACTGATGCATGCAGCGATGGGCAAACACGCATTTCAGAAAGAGCTAACTACTTTATCAGCAGAAGGTATGCATAGAGAACACGTGTGTAGTTTGCGAGCAAATACATAATTTTCATTCATCACAAAGCCTAAAAATCTCTCAACTCTGTTTTCAAGTAATTCCATATGTTCTTGAGAATGCAGTAATAATGAGTAGAGGGTTAGCAATTTTGAAACTGGCATTTCTGGTTTGATTTACCATGCACCATGCCCCCTTGAGTAAGGCACGCACAGGGGGTTTTCAGTTGGAAAGTTTGCTAAAATCCTATCCCTGAGTAAGACTCACACCCCAATTTTTAGTGACTTCTAAAACCACAAAATTTCAAAAATAAAAACAAAAAATTGACTTTAGACATGAAGCAAACAAAAATCTAACCAATTTTCAACTGTTTCAGTACAAAAAGTTTTCTTGTTACATTTGTTCCAAATTTCTCAATTATAATTAAGTATAATGCACACATAACTTCCTAAAACTTCTTGGAAAATTTGTACCCACTTATGATGCGCACCCATTTTTTTCTTCAGATATTTGAGAAAAAAGGTGTGCGTGGTACTCAAGTGATGCGCACCCATTTTTTTCTTCAGATATTTGAGAAAAAAGGTGTGCGTGGTACTCAAGTAAATACGGTACTTTGCGCAACCTGAATTTGACCAAGCAAACCTGAATTTTACCTGACTGATTTCTATAGCAAAACTTTGATCAGGCTGATATTGAAACAAACATTTAGCTGAGTGAGATTTTTGACTTTGCAAGGTATATGTCAACTGTACAATAAAACACTCCTATTTTAAACTGCTATCTGCTTCTTAATTAAATAAAAACACCCGAAACGAAATCTTTCTGAACTTCGGGTTCCTTGATACATATGACAAAATCTCCTTTTCATTACTGCAACAGAAAATATAACCGTTTATAATAATTTTGGGTAAAAATAGACCCATTCATCAACAATTCCTATAAGCATCATATTATTGGGGAACTTATTCTTCAATCCCAAAGAAAAAAGCGAATCGCCTTTGATATTTCCTTAAAGATTTTGTGAAATACCCTGCATATAATGCCTACCATAAAATCGTTTGTTCTCAGATTTCCAAAGAGGAGAAATAATACTAGTATTCTCACGTGTCCAAAAAGGTTCGTGGTCAAATACAGAGCGATTGATTCCGGCCACGGGAGGAAGTCGTACACCTTCCACCATCGGAACACAACGAGGGCAAAGAATAAAGTCAGCATGGCTGTCATGGGCACAACATCCGCAGCTTCTCCACAAGCTTTTGAAATATCAACAAATACCCTGAAATAAAATGCATATATATTGTAGATGTTTCACATAAGTGTGGAAGGAAATAATAAATGAAGGAGGTTTAACGTTTAATAGAAAGATGCGCGACGAAAATCCGACTTCTACTTCGGTTTGAAGAAAATATTCCATCGGAAGTTTTCTTCAAATGTATTTTAATAAATATCATATATGTTAACGATCGACGTTCATTATTCTCTCGTTCAAATAATTTTGATCGATATATTTGGCATTGATTATTTCATGCATGAGTATATAAAAACGTTGCTTTTGTGTTTATGTTTATACCTTTAGCCTTTTAGACAAAGGTTGAAAAATTGACGTAAGTTAAAGGTCAAAAGAACTTTATGCTATATAAAATTATTTGGTTATTATTAACTGATCTCAGTCACTAGACGTTATTCTCTGCTCACCCAAACGCTTTTGATCAACAAAATTGACATTTGGCTATTTCATTAATGGATATAAATTGCAACAAAAAACTGAATCCAAATGTGAAATGTGAGAAATTTGTCTACAACTTTAGCTTAAAAGGAAACATATACCATTTCCAGCTTTCTTGAAAGAATGTTCATCTCAAAAAGCATATGATAAAGTGCATTCGATACTCTCATCCAAACAATTTTTATGAACAGATTTGACAACGATTTTTCTTCAATGGATGGCAATTACAACAACAACAAAAAGAATGAAATTGTGAAATTCAGAAATAGATCTCAAACTGCAGTGACCCATGCAATTTGTGGCACATTTCATTTGTGGGACAAAATTTGAAAATATTTCAGCAACCAACACAAGAACCTAATTGCGTGTAAATACATACAGTATCATAGCCCATCAGGACTGTTAAGGAACCAGAACTGGGGCCCAGGGAAGTCAGGTCCCAGGACCTGAATTCTGGTTCCACTTTCCTTTGTGCACCTGTTCCCTGGATGTATGACTTCCTTGATGCACATTTCTCTCACCAATCACAGGCAGGGAAAAATATGACAAAAGCATTGTGCAGAATCATATAAAAAACCCGCTGTTATCCCTTCTCAATAATCAGTCCTTTAATTTAGCTCTTACTGCAAACTTCCCTCAAACAATTCAACCCCAATTCTTTTGAAGGAATTATTGCATTGCATTATTACTGCACCCTAAATTTGTGTGCACAAATTTATTATATTCATCGAATGTGTGTGGCATTATTGTATTTATTGTGATGCATTAATTTTGTATTGTGTTTCATTGTGATCTATTGTGGACTGTGATTAAACCATACAAAACTAGGGATATTTAATTAAGGTACCTCCTTAATTACATATTCCTGGCCACAAACCGGCTGATTGCCCTGCCTTGTTATTTCTCACC